GGGTTTGAACTTCTGACCTTGTGGTACAGTCCAGTGCTTATCCTACAGCTCCACACCAGGGTTCAAAACTCTTTTAGTAGCCTATCAGTACCAAATATCTCAGAGTTTTAATGAAGAATAAGGGAAAGAAAAAAATTAGGATAGAACCCTGAAAAATATCAACTTTTAAGGGAGGAAAGACAAAGAAGGATTCATAAAGTACTGAGACTGGAAAACCTCAGGTCAAAACTAAGGGTATGGTGTCATGGAAGCCAATGGAATGAAATGTTTCAAGGACAAATAAAGTAAGGATGAAAACACGTTCATTGGATTTAGCAAAATGTGGGACATTGACTACCATGGAGAGGAGAGCAGGAGGGAGACACAGGATCTAGGGAGGTGTATTGAAGATATTAAAATGCTGATGAAGATGAGCTATTAGAAAGCAAGACTTCAAAGATAGAGTGGGTATGAGGTTCCCACCGATGAAGAGAAAAAGAAGCCAAAGCAGAGATAGATGGATTAGCCTTCCAGAGGGAGAGGACATGTTTCCGTTATAAGAGGAGGAAACACCATCTACTGAGTCTTCCATGATTCAGCTTCTCCTCCTCTCCCCTTCTAGTTTAAAACCCAGGAATAGTGACTTCATTAGGCACAGTCCTGTCTCTCAGTCCTTCATATACTCTCTTCCCTTTGTCTGGCATGCTCTTTCTGCCCTCTTCACCTCTTTAATTCTTACCCATTTTTCAGTTTTCAAATTAAAGATCCCTTCATTCAGGAAGCTTTCCTTGAGTCCAGGAAGGCTGTGTTAGTTACTATTAAAACGTCCCTGTTTTAACATTTAGTAATTGATTCATTTTCTTTCCACCTATTGAATATTCAGCTCCATTAGGTCATGTCTTCTCTTGCATCCTCCCCACAGAGCATAATTAAAACCTGGTGTTTTGATGCAGGATCAACAGATTGGCAGAACCCACTGTGAATCTCCAGACCATTGAGCTCCCTACCGAGTGTGATCCTATGGGAATACAGCCCTGGCTCAGAAATCTAGATGACACACCAAAGGATGACTTCTTGATGCCGAAGGAGCTGCCTAACATCCAGCTTAATACTGGGGTGATTACTCTTTCTTGGGATTATAAAATTGGAAGTTTTGGTTAACATGGAGATTATGATCAAATTGCTTTGTCACCTGGTGGTACTGATTGGCGTGATCTAGAAACACCAGTCTTTCTCATCATCAGTCACTTGTCCGCACAAGATTCCTAAGACCCAAACCACAAGTTTAGGCATTACCTTCTTCTGTATCTCCTGCAGAAAATCAACAAGATCCTGATCATTTTCTTCTAAATAATCCTCTAATCAGATTCTCTCTTTCTCAATTTTACCCTTGTTTTCTAATCCAAACCCTAGTACCTCACATAATTAGTCTCTCACAGTTTTACATGTATACTTTTAAGTCTATCTTCTAAACTACACCTTGTGGTTGTTGTTGTTAAGTGCCATCGAGTTCGTTATGACCAATAGCAGCACAGTATGAGGTTTCTAAGGCTATAAATTGTTGCAGGAGCAGAAAGTTTCATGTTTCTCCCTCAATGTCTGGTGGGTTTGAACCACGAACTTTGTAGTTTGATGTCCACTGTTATTTTAAAGCCTATGCTTAAAAACCCTTCATTGACTCCCCATTATACACAGAATTAAATCTAAGCCCTTAGCAAAGCATATTCTGTCCTCCAAAAAACTCACCTCAACTATCTCTCTAATCCCCGTTTGGTAAATCCTCACTTTAAAATTTTTGACTTGCAACACCTAAATTTCTATATTCCCCAAGCTGTTTCATGCTGTTAGACTAATTAATGCCTATTTTAAATATTCAGCTCAAGCCTCATCTCATCCAGGATCACTGCCCAAACCCAGTCTGAGTGATGTTTCTCTGTGCTCCCATGTCACCCTCAGCTTACAGTATGATATAAGAGGGTTTCAAAAAGTTCATGGAAAAATGCCATTATCTTTTCATTCAATTTTTCTACTGACTTTCCAAAGCCCTGTCCCATATTAAAATATATTATTGTCTATCCATCCCCCAATAAACCAGAAGTGTTATGGAAAAATTCTGTCCCATCATTCTCCTTTCTTCTGGAAACTTTTCTTGTTTTTTCTAGGAATATTATTATGTATATCATATATTGTTGTTGTTGTTAAGTGCTGACTCATAGTGACCCTATATAGGGTTTCTGAGGAGCAGCTGGTGGATTTGAACTGCTGACCTTGTGGTTTACAGTCCACAGGGACTGTATAGGCTTTCTGAGGAGCAACTGGTAAGTCTGAACTGCTGACCATGTGGTTCAAACTGACCTTGCGGTACAGTGCATTCACCTGCAGCACTACACCAGGACTCCACCACAGATTGGATAGTGCATTCAAACCACCAACCTTTTGGTTAGCAGCTGAGTGCTTTAAACTGCACCACCAGGGTTCCTTTGAACATTATAGAAAAAAGTCCTAAGCATTATGATGGGGACAAAATATAGAGTGCTTTGAGATCACATAAGATGGGCACTGAACCCTGGCCTAAAAGTTCAAGTAATGTATTGCCCTCTAAATTGTGACCTGCAGGGTGGCTAAGAGTCTATTTTATGTCTCTCTTCTCTTTTGTAGATGACTCTTTGTATCCAGCAGTTTTATGCCTTGCTGATGAAAAGGGCCTTGTATACTTTACGTCACTGGAGGATAACATTACTGCAGATTTTGATACTACTGTTTTTCACTCTCTTCCTCCTGAAAGCCATCTTCTACTATTCAGAAGTGAAAGATGCCCCCATTTTGGGCATGGATTTGCATCAATATGGTCAATCCATTGTGCCTTATACTTTCTCTCTGAAAACTAAGTTGGCTGTTCTGTTTGGAGACCACATAAAACTTATACTAATGAATGAGAAACAACTACCTCACCCAGTGACAGGTAAGGGCTTTGTAAAGAGGGACACATGATGAATGTTAATAGGTTTCCTAGATTGAAACAGGCCATGTCTAGTCTTCATAACTCTCAGGAAAACATGGTATGAAACACGTTCTTTTTTATCACAGGTCCCACTAGCCTTTACCCAGAAATCTAGTACTACATGAAAAATAAAAGAAACATTCTCAGTAGCAGAAGGAAGACACCAAGATGGTCAGGGAGGCCCACCTGGCTAAACACATCTTCCCTGACTAAGCAGTGATGGAATTCTAAATGACTGGATGCTAAGTAATGGAACCAACACAAAATGAATATGGTTTAATTGAACACTTATAATTATCCAAATACTGTTAGATGCTGAGAGATAAAAAGATGAACAAAGCTGTGAATTCACAGTTTATAAATGAGTAAATTTCATATTCATGTAGTGCTTTTTAGCCAGCTAAGTCCCTTGACATATGCAGGATTCCATTCAACATTCACAACAAAAGTGAGAGTCAAAGAAGTTAGAAGATGGAGGCAAACAATACCTTGTAGAGTCAGCACCACACAACACCACGATGTTCCCGTACCCGGATGGGGTATACCCTGCCTTGTTTAAAATTAGATCCTTTGACTAATGCTCACATTATGTTAGCTTTTACATGAATATTTACTTCATTCGATATGAGTCCTGGTGGTGCTGTGGGTTAGGCGTTGGGCTGCTAACCACCAGGTTGGTGGTTCAAACCCACCAGCTTCTTGTTCCATGGAAGAAAGAAGAAGCTGTCTGCTCCTGTAAAGATTTAGAATTTCCAAAACCCAACATAGAGTCAGACTTGGCTCGATGGCAGTGGGTGGTTTATTTGATGGTACATTAATGTTTCTTCTTCCAGATGAGGGCAGAGATTGGTTTTTCTTATGGCTTTTGTTTCTTCTCCTGACCCCTAAAAACACAGTAGCTGTTCTTGCAGATTGTAAACTTCTCAACCTCCCAGTACCTGGCACATCGCCAGGCATTAAGTCAGTAAATATTTGTTGCAGGGAATCATGAACTGCTATGTCCCCATTCTAGGTAACTTAGAAGAATTCCTACTGAAAAGTGGAAGATGTAAGGAACAATGTATTGTCGCCATTTCCCTTGAGGTCCAAAAAAGCAGAGCCATCATCACTGCTCTGTTTAACAACCAGGCCTATCATGCTGCTCCGACAGCCCTGAATCTGGTCAACAAGATTCTGTTCAAGTTACTCTCTGGTCCAGGTGCTTCCATCTCGGTCTCTAACAAGCCTCAGCCTCGAACTGCTAGCCAAGCAATAAAGGAACAATTCCATGAGTATGTGTGCTCTGGGGTTTTTTGTTTTCTTTCTGGGATTTATATGTTATAAATGATCATTATGTTTCTATGTTACTCTGTAAGACAGTGGTTTTCAAAACGTGGTTTGAGGACTGGGGCTTTCAAGGTCAAAACAAGTTTCATAATATTTTCAAATGACTAATTCGTAATGTTAGACACTGATGTGTGAGTGAAAGATTCATTAAAAGTGCAAGATAAACCAATACATTTATATTTTTCACAGTAAAAAATTTCATTGATACAGTGTTTAGATTCTGCATGTATCTAGGGTGTCTGATTTGGTTTGCCCAGAGCTTAGAAGATTCCTAGGATACAGGACCTTCAGTGCCAAGACCAGGAAACTCCTGTACAAACCAGAACAAGGGGTCACTCTAACTGCAAGTAATCTTTAAGAAACTACCATTTGTCACATTTTCATATAGAATTTAAGAAGAATATCCACTGTTATCTGAGAGGGATATTAAAGTATTTCTCCCTTTTCAAATACACATACACACAAACCAGGGTAAGTTAAGAAAAAAAAAAAAAAGCATCGCTAGCCTCGGAAACCCTGTTCACAGGGTCACTATGGGTCGGAACTGACTCGACGGCACTTAACAACAACAACAGTAGGATTCTAATTTAGATATATGTGCATTTCCTATAAAGAAAGCACATTTAAATATATTTCTGTGACCAGTGGATAGCGACAGACAAGTTTGCTCAGTCATACACTTGTCTTAGTTTCCTTATGGTGTTGTTGTTGTTAAGTGCTGTTGAGTCAGTTCCACCTCATAGCAACCCTGTATAGGGTTTCCACGGAGTGGTTGGTGAGCTTGAACCACCGACATTGTGGTTCAAACCAACCTTGTAGTCTATCTAGCGCATTAACCCAGAGCGCCACACCAGGACTCTTTATAGTGCTTTTACAAAAAAAGTCCAACTATAACAGTGGCTTCCAAGGAGATCTATTGTTGTTGTTAAGTACCATCCAGTTGGTTCTGATCCATAGTGACCCTGTATAGTGCTTCTGAGAAGCAACTGGTGAGCTTGAACCTCAGACCTTGTGGTTCAAACTGACTTTACAGTCCAGTAGATTAACCCATAGCGCCACACCAGGACTCCTTAAGTCTCGACGCTGCCCAGTTAGATTCAAGGCTGAGAGGTCAGCTTAGAAGGTTATGGTGATTGATTTGGGGGATTCCAAAGGGTTTTCTCACAGGACACAGGACCCCCATGGGGACTTACTATAAACAAATTTTCAGAAAATTGAAAACTGCATCAGTGAGGAAAAGGCCATGAAAGTTGTGCTGAGGATTTTTTTTTCCCATCCCCAAAATACACCTGCTCATTCTTTGAGGTTAGCAAGGGCTATCCTACAAGAATCTTATTGAGTAGCCTTATCCCATCCACCCTATAGCCCAGATCTTGCTTCTTCAGACTCCCTTCAGATTCCCAAAGCTTAAAAAACATTTCAGAGAACAGAATCTTAATCCCTCTAGGATGTCAAAACTGCTGTTTTGATGTGGTATAAATCAAAGAGCACAGAATTCTTTGGGAAAGGGTTGTGTGGTGGTCTGTCAACTCATAGTGAGCCTATATAGAGTTTCCAGGATCAGCTGGTGTGTTTAAGCTGCCCACCTTGACAGTTAGTAGTCCAGTGCTTATCCTACAGTGACATACTAGGACCCCTAGAAGTATCATGGGGAAGGGTTGTTACTATTGTATGTAGCCAAATCAGTTCCAGGACTAAGATGCACCTGACCCAAGCCATGGTATTTTCAATTGCCTCATATGCATGTGAAAGCTGGACAGTGAATAATGAAGACCATAGAAGAATTGATGCATTTGAATTACAGTGTTGGAGAAGAATATTAAACGTACCATAGACATCCAAAAGAATAAACAAATTTCTGTTGGAAGAAGTGCAGCCACATTACACCTTAGAAGCAAGGATGGCAGGAATTCATCTCTCATACTTTGGACGTGTTGTCAGGAGAGTCCAGTCCCTGTAGAAGGACATCATGCTTGGTGTAAGAGATGGTCTGCGAAAAAGAAAAGACCCCCAACAAGATGGATTGGCACAGTGGCAGCAGCAATGGGCTCAAGTATGGCAACAATTGTGAGGATGACGCAGAACCGGGTAGTGTTTCGTTCCATTATGCACAGGGTTGCTATGAGTCTGAATCAACTCCATGGCACCTAACAACAACTTGATCTTCGAGACATACTTTTTGATTTATCCTCACATCTGTATGTGTATGCATGTGAAGTAAGACTTTCTTTATATGCTTTAGCCCAAACAAAATAGAAAAGATTAACTATATAACTAAGTATTGACTGTTTTCTTTTAAGCTAAATATTAAGAGAGATTTTCAAACATGTAAAACACCACTCTTCTCACAAAAGTTTTGTTTGCAAAACTAGTGATGTTTTTTAAGAAAATGTTATCTATGTTAATACATTTATTATTTTAATAAGCAACTATTTTTTACTTTCTCCATTTAAATTACAATATAATAAATATCAATAACTGTAATCCACATGAAAGAGCCCTGGTGGTGCAGTGGGTTATGAGTTGGCTGCTAATTGTAAGGTCAACAGTTCAAATCTATCAGCTGCTCCGAAAAAAGAAAGATAAGGCTTTCTGCTCCCGTAAAGTTTTACAGCCTTGGAAACTCTATACAGGATCTCTATGGGTCAGAACTGGCTCCACGGCATATAACCACCAACAACAACCATAATCCATATAAGCATAAGTTTTATGGAATTTTCAATGATTTTAAACTGTATAAAGAGATCCTAAAACACAGAGGTCAGCAGTTCAAACCCACCAGCTGCTCCTTGGAAACCCTATACAGGGTCACTATGAGTCACAGCCGACTCAACGGCACTTATCAACAACAACAGCAAAACACAGCAAAAGGCTAGTCTATGATAACTTTTCACTAGCTGGAAGTGAAATTAAAAACAAAACTAAGAAAAGTTAAGTGTGTGTATATGTTAGTATAAGATAGTAACTGTCCTTTTTTAAGAAAAGTGTCCCTTTATTTCCTTTCTACATTTTTGGAGTTTATTCTAGGGGAAAAAGAAAACCCCATATTCAATCATATTTTATAGAGACCTTTTTAGTAAGCCTTAAACAAAGGCAAAGACAAATCATCCATACAAGGGAGACTCAGCATAAGTCCTGGGGTGGCGCTGTGGGTTAATGCGACAGACTGCAAAGCCCTTTGCACTGCAAGGTCGGCGGTTCAAGCTCACCAGCTACTCCTTGGAAATCCTATTCAGGGTCGCTATGGGTCAGAGCTGACTCTACAGCACTTAACAACAACATCAGTATAAGACCATAAAGGAGTGGCTAACTAATTATAGACAAAGGAAATCCTCATAACATCATGAATGGCAGCAGATCAAGTCATCACTGTCATGGGTGTCACACAATATATTACAAATTAGTTAAGCTTACAAGATTGGTCCTGGGGCCCTCTGACCACCTGGGTATTTGATGGTTGGGTATGACCAAGACCACCCGGCCGTGGAATTCCAACACCCATCAGGCAAGTCTTCTGAGGACAAGACTACTTTACAATTTAAGCTCTAAGATAAGTTAAAACATCATTTTTTATAATAGTTGTTGTTGTTAAGTGCCATCAAGTCAGTTCCAACTCAGTGACCCTGTATATGGTTTCCAAGGAGCAGCTGGTGGATTTGAACTGTCGACCTTGTGGTTCAGAGTCCAGTGCTGATTTATATAATGTCCTTATATGTCCACAATCAACTTGGCAACCATATGAGGGGGCTTAAAAAAGTTCGTGGGGAAATTCCATTATCTTTTATTTTGATTTTTCCACAAACTTTTTGGAGCCTTCTTGTATACTTTCTAAAAATAATTTCCAAAAACTTAACCTGTCAACAAAATTCTGCAAACCACTGTTCAAGGAAATAGTTGTTTATGCAAGTTGTATTCCTACACACACACAATTTTCTTTTCATGTCTCACCTTCTGCAGGGGCAGTAAAGGACATGACGTTGCCTTCAGCTTGTTCTTTGGCACAGCCATCGTGGCTAGCAGTTTCTCTGTCTTGACAGTAAGGGAAAGAGTCTGCAAGGCAAAGCACATCCAGTTTGTGAGTGGAGCACACGCCAGTATTTTCTGGCTTTCTGCTTTGTTTTGGGATATCATGGTCTTCTTCGTTTGTTCCTCCCTGATACTGGTAAGTGTTTAGTGGCTGTCTAGACTCATTTTTCTCTTGCTCAGGTTTCTTGCCTAGTACCTGTTGTTTTTGTTGTTAAATGCTGTTGAGTCAGTTCCGATTCATAGTGACCCTGCATAGGGTTGCCAAGGAGCAGCTGGTAGTTTGAACCACTGACCTTGTGGTTCAAACTGACCTTGCAGTCCAGTGCTTATCCTATAGCACCATACCAGGACTCTGTAATACCTAGTGCTAGGAAAACCTTTGAGGACAATGTTCTTCACACTCACATCTTCATCAGACAACCACTTAGAGCATCCCCTGAGCATTTCCACAGGCATTAGTGACCAGCTCTCTGGAGCCTGAGCCTGACTCTTGTCTGTCTGCTTAACATGTGAGAATATTTACCCTAGGACCTTAGAACAATTTCATATCAGAAATGTCTACAACAGCTAGATCAACTTCCTTGCAACTCTCTTAATCTAGAGAAATAAAAAAAGAGAGAGAGAGAGAGAGAGAGAGAGAGAGAAAGAAGTAAAACTACTCCAACTAGGAAAAAAAGGCAGAGAGAGAAATGCTTGCTCTGTTTCCTTTGTTGTTACTTCCATTGGAATCATTGGATGTGGCTCTCACCCTAAGCCTGTGAAGCCTAAAGCCTTAATTTTGAAAGACAGAATTGCTCTGGTGTTCTGAGGTGTACCCAAGTCTTACTGGAAGAATGATTGGCAGCAAACCTAAAGGTTGGTGGTTTGAACCCACCAGCTGCTCTTTGGGGGAACAAAGCAGTCCGCCTCTTCAAAGATTTACAGCCCTGGAAACCCTACGGGGCAGACCTCTCTCTTGTAGGGTCACCGTAAGTCATAGTTTTAATCCATACAATAAGTTGGAGGGTTTTGTTTTTGTTTGTTTGGGGTCTGGTGTTCTAAACTGGTTTCTTATTTGGTGCACTCTCTCTACTCTGCCCCTTCACCCTTCACCCCACCTCCTCCTGAAAGTCGTAAACCTTTAACCTCTGTGCTTGGTCTTATGCTCCTAGGTAGTCTTCTATGTCTGTAATGTGACAGCGTTCTTAGAAGACCACCACTATGCAGATGCCTTGCTGATTTTCACGCTGTTTGGCTGGTCCACCATTCCCTTAATATACCTGATGAGCTTCTTGTTTTCCAGTAGTGCCGCTGCCTACACCAAACTGCTTGCTTTCAACTTCCTTACAGGCATTGCCAGCTTTCTATTGGTCTACATGATTGATACTAACAGTAAGTGGAAGCCTTAGGGATTTCCTTTTTCATACAATTAATGTTCCAGGTGGGAGTATTAGTGAACACATAAGGAAGCACAGGATTAGGGTGGGCATATTTTTAAGAAGGCAACTTCCCAAATATCTTTGAAAGTTCATATGTATCGTGTAGCTCCATCCCATGAGGCCCAAAGAAGTTCAGCCCAAAGAAGTCAGATTCCCTTGGAGAATGAAAAAGATGTAGTCACCCGATCTCTTCTCCCATTGCCCTACAAACAGGTTATAGAATCTGTGTTTGGGAATATTGGAGGTATTTCCTCCCTGAGAATCTTAGCACAAAAGTGGGCAGTCAGCTGGATCCTTTCCTAAAGAGATGATTCTGGAAGGCAGGTTCTACGGACATAATGCATGTAATAATACAGATATTCAGTACATCACAGGAGTGTCTCTGACTCATCTGTTTTGTGTTTCCATTTACGTAACGTTTATGGAGCCCCTACTGTGTACTATACACAGGAAATACATTTTAAACAAGAAAGATAATGTCCCTACTCTCCTGGAATATAAGTAATAATACTAGGAAGAGAATAAGAAAACACAAGATAGTAATATGTACTATTTAAAAAATATATTCACACTGTGATCAAAATAAAAGCACTTACCTAGTAGAGAGTGTCTGAGGACAATTTTGATATGCAGCCAGTCAGATGAAGGTTTGCTGAAAGAATATTTCAGACTGATGAGCTAGCTCTTGAAAAGATCTTAAAGCAAGAATGTACTTTGGCATGATCTAAGGAACAAGACAAAGGTCGTTGTGCCTGAAACATTCTCTGAAAGGAGTAAAAGTGGTATTGAGGGTTACACAGGGACCAGACCTTGAAGGGCTTTGTGGCCATGGATATGGAGTCTGAGTGGAATTCTAAGAGGAATTTCATGAGATTAGAGTTCTGAAAAAGCTATTTGAAACTGCAGGTTTCCTTATTATTACCTTCCTCTGGACTCCCAGAAAGCCACCGTAACCTAGTTTCCATCTCTTCATAGACAATTACCCTTAATCTTACCTACCAGCAATAGATACTTGAAAGAATTTAACGTTAATTTTCCAGTTTTATCTGAGCATGATTTGATATTGATGAAATCACTGCACACACAATTTACTGTTTTCTTTTGTGTGTTCACTTTCTATAGGTGTGTAACAAATTATTAAAAACAACAATTTTATTAACTCACAATTTCCATGGGTCAGTAATCTGGGGACTGGTTACCTGGGTCCTCTACTGAGGGGGAAATCAAGGTGTTGCCCAGGGCTGCAATTGCATCTAAGGGTCCAAGTCCTCTTCCAAGTTCACCAGTTGTTGACAGAATTCAGTCTCTTGCAATTGTAGGACTGAGGTCTCCATTTCTTGCTGGGTGTCAGATAGGAGTCATTTTCAGCTCCAAGAGGCCACCCACTATTCCCCACCACAAGGTCCTCTTTCCAACATGGCAGATTACTTCCTTAAGGCTAGCAGAAGAATCTCTCACTTCAAATCTTTCTGATTTCACAAAGGGCCTAGTCTCTTTTAAGTGTCCTCCTAGGATAAACTTCCTTTTGATTAACTCAAAGTCATCTGATTGGAGACTTTAATTACATACCTGCAACAGACCTTTCCCTTTGTCATATAACATGACCTAACCTGGGAATGAAATCCATGATATCTACAGGAGCTCTGGTAGCATAGTGGTTACAAATCAAGCTGCTAACCTCAGGGTCAGCGGTTCAAAACTACCAGCTGTTCCACAGGAGAAAGATGAGGCTTTTCTGCTCCCATAAAGATTTACAGCCTCGGAAACCCTGTACAGGGTCACTATGAGTCAAAACCAACTCCACGGCACATGACAGCAACAACATCTACATTCAAGAATGAAGAAGGGGATTATGCAAGGTGTGGCCCTCAGGGAGCCAGAATCTCATGGGTCATCTTAGAATTCTCCCTACCATACTTTGTATGGCTGATGTCAACTTCCTAAGCTATTATAAACTCCAGAAATACTTTGTTGTTGTGAAGTGCTGTCGAGTCAGTTCTGACCCATAGTGACCCTGTATAGGGTTTCCAAGGAGCAGCTGGTGAGCTTGAACTGCTGTCCTTGCAGTTCCAACCGACCTTGCAGTCTAGCACATTAACCCACAGCACCACACCAGGACTCCGTAAATACTTTACAGTCACATAATAGTTATTGAATATATATACCATAATTTAGCTATTATTTGTTCATCTGGAGTCCTGGTGTGGCACTGTGGGTTAATGCGTTGGACTGCAAAGTCATTTTAAACCGCAAGGTTGGCGGTTCAATCTCACCAGCTGCTCCTAGGAAACCCTGTACAGGGTCACTATGGGTTGGACTCAACTCAACAACACAATATCTATCTATCTATCTATTGTTCATTTATATTATTTCCAGTTTCTTACCTTAATGAAATATGTAGCAAACAAACATGTCTGTGCATAAAGTTTTTCTGCATTGTAGATAATTTCCTTAGGATAAGTTTTCTGTAGTGGAATCATGCCATTTACTGAATATCCTAGAAAATAACTGATCCCTGGATTCTCATGAGTCAGAATTGACTCGTTGACAGTGCATTGTTTCGTTTTTAGTTTGGACTCTCTGGAACCCAAATTTTTACTTCTGCCACCTTTCCATCTATCCCAACCATAATTTGTAGAGTAGTAGACAAGACTGAAGCAGTAACTTCAGCGATACCCTACATCACGTCCCTTACATAGCCCTTCTAACCTACATATGCCACCCCCCTGGGCCTCTCAGCAGACACTCATTTCCTTTGGACATAGGGGCTGGAGAACTGGATACCATTCCTCTTCAACTTGAGTTGTATATAAATTCTCCAAACACGCTGGACAGAGACTTTCCTAGAACTTCAAGACAGAGGAAAGTTTATTGGTACCTAATTGAAGAATTTCAAAAATCACCCCAAACTTTATGATGTGTTAAATTCCTATGCATTTTCTACAATGGAAATGAATGTATACATTTTCTTTCCTAGTGATGGATTTGGGTGGATTAAACCAAATCTTTGTCAGTATGTTCTTTCTGTTTCCTGCTTACAACCTGGGCAAATCTATTAGTGGATTTTATGACAACTTCCGAACCCAGAGATACTGCACCAGCAGCTCTTCTGAAGATTGTAAAGCGAATAGTGAGTACCATGCCTCTTGTTCTTTGTAGCACTAATCCCTTATTTCTCTAGAATTCTACATTTTAGTTGAGAATGTATTTTTTAAGAATATCTAGACTATCTACAGATGACATTTTTAGTATCAAAGGCATTTCCCCACTTGGAGAAATCTCTATGAAGTTATTTACACCTTAAAAGATTTAGAAGGGTAAATTGTATGTTCACCTAAATCCTGTTCTGCTTTCCAAAAGATGACCCTGGAGCTATTTATTCAGAATGCTGCTGAAACGCATTCTGCTCTCTTGAAGCTTTAAGACTGAACCATCTCTCATACTGTGGACATCTTAAAGAATGAGAGGGGAAGGAAACAACATGAAAAAATATTTTGGATTATTAATGTGGATTTATAAGTAAACATAAGGAGTTGTGGTACCACATACCATCAGCTGACATTTATTGACTACTTTCTGTGAGCCATGCCTTGTTTTAAAGGCTTTATCCATGGTAATTCTCTCAACTTACCATATCATGTATAGGTAATTATTATCCTCATTTTATAATTATTTCACAGATGTGGAAACTGGGGCAGGGAGATTAAAAGCACTTTCCCAAGATCTCACCATCAGTATGAGTGTAAGAGCTGAGCTGGGACCTTAGCAATATGGCCCCAGAGTCCTACTTCTCACTACTGCTGTTTATTACTACTCATGAGAAACTAAATGCACATAATTTGGGGCTGCTGAAACGCATTCTGCTCTCTTGAAGCTTTAAGACTGAACCATCTCTCATACTGTGGACATCTTAAAGAATGAGAGGGGAAGGAAACAACA